GGGTGAAGAAAAAAATAAAAATTAAAAAAAAAAAAAAAAAAGGGCTACGAGGATGATGAGGGGACTGGAGCATCTCTCCTCCAAGGAGATGCTGAGGGAGCTGGTCTTGTTCAGCCTGAAAAAGAGAAGGCTGAGAGGGGACCTAATAAATGCTTGTAAATATTTCAAGGTTGGGTGTCAGGAGGATGGGGTCAAACTCTTTTCAGTGGTGCCCAGTGACAGGACAAGGGGCAATGGGCACAAACTGAAGCACAGGAAGTTCCAGCTGAACATGAGGAAGAACTTCTTCCCTCTGAGGGTGACGGAGCACTGGAACAGGCTGCCCAGGGAGGTTGTGGAGTCTCCTTCTCTGGAGATATTCAAGACCCACCAGGACAAGGTCCTGTGCAGCCTGCTGTATGTGACCCTGCTTCGGCAGGGGGGTTGTACTAGATGGCCCACAGAGGTCCCTTCCAACCTCTACTATTCTGTGATTCTGTGATTTAATCATGTAATTTAAAGTGGTGTTGTTATTGCCTGTCATTGCTGTTGCTACTAAAGACAGTAATAATTTTTGTCCGGGTTTGAAGCGCTCACTAAATCGTCTGCCAAAAGAACAGCTACACATCTTGAAACTGATGGTGAGTAGCAGGAAGATCTAGCAGCCAGGAACCTGCTGGCAGGGCTTGATGCTACAGGGTACTTGCAGGCACAAAGGCTGTCTTTGAGGACTCCCTCTTGGACCTCTATCTTGAAAGATATGTTGGGATGGATACTGTTCCTGGTGGAAATTTCTTTAGGTATATAAAGACAAGGTGTCTTTTTCTGTAGCATCACCCCAGCTCATGAAACCATGTTTCCTGCCTCACCCATACAAGGGGAATTTCCCAGCACAGAGGAAAGAAGGAGGAACATGTGAGGTAGCCACAGGTTCTCTAAGTTTTCACAAGGGTCTCCGAGTTCTTGCTACAGGCAGTTTGGTCTGAGGGACGTACTTCTTCCTTGCTTCAGCTTGCTCCCTTCTCCCAACTCTGAGAAAGACCCCGTTCCCTCCCTCAGGAGCAGCTGGCAGGCCCCAGAGGTGGAGAATCTGCTGTGTCCTCCTGACTCCCAGATGGTGTATTGGGGTCCCCTGGTTTTCTGAAACTGTCCCAATATACCATGAAATCATAAGTACTATAGGACCTCTCATTGCCCCATGTTTCTGTACCCCAGTGAGCTGGGAAGTGTCTGCAAAGTGGGACAGGATTTAACAGGACTAAGAGGTTGGGATGCTCTTCCACCAGTGCCTGGTGCTTCTGGGTTATTTTGCTCATATTCCCCTATTTCCTTCCATTGTATTTTCAGCTTGGCAGTTCACCTAGTGTATTTTAGAAATGGGTAGGTTGATTCTCACGGCATTGTTGAAATAATAATAACAAAAACAACAATAACAACAACATCATCATCGACAACAACAACAAAAATAATAATAGTACTACCATCACCACCACCATTAAAACCTTCATCCTGGTTTTCTTTGGCAGTCAGCATAACAGCTTCAGTGTATATTCCTATGAAGAAACTTGACTTCCCTCCACTGTATTGCAGTGCTGCCTCATTTTATGTAGTGTGATTTGAAATATGGGCCTTTTTTTGTTCTTAATTAAACCAGTTTAAAATGAAAAGTCTTTGTTTCAGGTTAGACCTCTTTGAAAAGCTTAGCGTTTTGACCTGATGAAATATGCTAAACTACGTTTTTTCCCTGTTAACACATTCAGAAATGTTCCTTTTTTATCAGTAATACTTTTCCAGTGCTTTGTTTTGCTTTCGTGGTTTCCAGATAGTGTTTAACATTCTCCTGACACAGCCTTTCTTTGGTACGTTACAGGAACTGGTTTCTTGGTTGCTCAGCCAAATGCTTGTAGACTTTTATATGTTACCTAATTACACCAACTGTGAAACACTAAATTGTGAAAAATGCAAGCACATACCTGTATTACGTATTATTAAATAATATAGTGTATGTAAGTTAACATAAGCTCTAATATCCACTTTTTTTTGTGCTATGCACGCCTGAATTACTTTATATTGAAATGTTTGTTGAAATCCAAACAGTTTATATACCACTATTAGCTGCGTATCGTATTCACTGCCAAATCTCACATTACTTCGACAGCAAAAGACCCAAAACCATCTCCATAGATGAAAATATGGAGCCAAGCCCCACAGGAGACTTTTATCCTTCTCCAAATTCACCAGCTGCGGGGAGTCGGACATGGCATGAAAGAGATCAAGGTGAGTAACACAGGACCATTTTACCTCGAAATATTTTTAAATATAAAATCTCTGCATCTCTCTTTCCATTACTGCAATAAAATGAGGACTTTCTTTTTAGAAGAATCATGGTTTTTTCTGTCTGGTATTTGTATTTGCTGGTTTTGTAAATGTAATTAAAACCAACAATCAACAGGATATGGTACAAACAACCACATAATAATTTTTACATGTGGTGACTGCCTTATCTATTGTTTGAAAAGATGTGTGGCAAGTGAGGTACTTGTGTATGCTGTGATCATCCCAACAGGATTCTGAGTACGGTGGTTTCAAGTAAAAACCAAAACATATCCATATTATGGTTGAATCAACACTAGTTTATTCAGTTTTTGTTTTACCATGACAGTCTCCTGTATGTGTGTTTAGTCCATACTTTGTGACTCACAATAGGTCCAAAATGCTCCTTTCTGAAGAGACCACACATAGCTCTGTGAGACTGTATCCATATGCTAAAGGGTATTGGTAAGTGTTGTGTTTTGGATTAGCAGAAACAAGGAACATGTTTGTGTGGAGAAGAAAGTTATGGCTGTCAAAACAGTAAAATTAATTGTAATAATTTTCCCTCATATTATCGTGATATTTTATAAACCTAGATGCCAGTGTAGCCTTTTCCCTCACCTTTGTAATGTGAAAACACGTTTAAACTCACATTTATTTGAACAGCGTTGTTTAATGGATCCTGTCGCTGAGTTGCTGCAGCTATTTGGAGAGTCTGTGAAATGTACAGCACAGTATGCAAAAGTGAAATAGGGGAAAAGACATGCCATTGCTTCCTTTGCTGATCTTCCCATGTTTGCTCTCCTTTTCCCCATCCATTACTCATCATTGCTCTCAGTTTCTCAGTAACTAACTGACCCTATGGTCTTACTTAATTTTTGTATTGTTTTAGGCTTTTTTATTTTTTCTTTTTTTCGCCTGCTAAGTTTTCATTTTCATCTCTGTGAGCAAGATAGCATGTGACTGGTGTTTAGTTTAGCTGCCCTGTATTTTCACATTTTTGTCATAGTTGGTCTCCTTTTAATCTGCTTCTGCCTATCCTCTGATCTGCATTCTCTTCGTCAGGCTGTTCCTCTCACACACTGTTTACTAATCTTTTTCTTCATTGTTTCTATTATACTTCTTGTTTCTCATGGAAGCTCTGATACTTTCTTATTTCTAGCTGTTTGCACTATTCATTGTTCAATTTAAAAAAATAAAAAATCTTGCCTGTGGCTTTGCGTATCCAAACTTAAGAACAGAAAAAGAGCAGTTCTGACAGCCAGCATCTTCCCCCTTGTGCAAAATATTTTCCTCTGTGACTGTTACCTGTTTTGCCATGACACTTTATTATGTTTTTTCCTAAAAGGCAGGACTGTAGCTCAATGAATTTTGTCCTTTTGAAGTATATTATTTTTGTGGTTGTGGGGAATGTGAAATGAAGTCTTTTGTGCTGCTGAGTAAGCTGTTGGGACTTCTGAGAAATGCAGTGCTGCATGGACAGCTGAGCCTGAGTCCTACTGATGGAGCCTTTGACAGATGTTCTCTTTAGTTTCCAACTATCTCAATTGCTCTTGAATCATTCTGCTTGCAAAGAGCTGTGCTCTGTGAACACTGGACTTGTTCAGTTTTAACAGCCTTCTTCATGTCAGATTTCTCAGTAGTGAACAATATTATTGTTCAGATTGCTTGAGTAGATTTGCAATAAACGTTTAGTTGATTTCTGTGCCATTGGGTAGCTAGACTTCTGGACTGAAACAGCCTTTAGCTCTCTATACAAGTTTCATAAATCAGAGTACTCCAAAAGAAGAGAAAGATCTCTGAAGAGATCGACTTGAATCAGTTTATTTTGTTTTTGCTTCCTCTGCTTCATGAAGTTTATATTCCTCCCTGAATATCCTGTTCTCCAGCACTGCTGCGCCTAGTGAAATTTTACCAGATCCTTGACAGAGAGTTTGTGTTTGAGACACTGTGAGGGACTTTGTTTTATATATATTTGAGATGTTTTTCTATTCCTACAGAAGGACAGATATACTACTGTCGTAGAATCATAGAATGCTTTGGGTTGGAAGGGACCTTTAACAGCCATCTAGTCCAATCCTCCTGCAATAAGCAGGGACATCTTCAGCTAGATCAAAATCACAGAATCATAGAATCATAGGTTTGAAAAGACCTCCAAGATCATCAAGTCCAACCATCCACCCACCACCATGCCTACTAAACCATGTCCTGAAGTGCCACATCTACACGTTTTTTAAACACCTCCGGGATGGTGACTGAACTACCTCCCTGGGCAGCCTGTTCCCATGCCTGACCACTCTTTCAGTAACAAATTTTTTCCTAATATCTAATCTAAACCTCCCCTGATGCAACCTGAGGCCATTGCCTCTCATCCTATCGCTAGTTACCTGGGAGAAGAGACCAACCCCTGCCTCACTACAACCTCCTTTCAGGTAGTTGTAGAGAGCAATAAGGTCCCTCAGCCTCCTCTTCTCCAAACTAAACAGCCCCAGCTCCCTCAGCCGCTCCTCATAGGACTTGTTCTCTAGACCCCTCATCAGTTTTGTTGCCCTTCTCTGGACATGCTCCAGCAGCTCCGAGGGGCCCAAAACTGAACACAGTACTCCAGGTGCAGCCTCACCAGTGCCGAATACAGAGGCACGATCACCTCCCTACTCCTGCTGGCTACACTATTCCTGATACAAGCCAGGATGCCATTGGTTTTCCTGGCCACCTGGGCACACTGCTGGCTCATGTTCAGCCGGCTGTCGACCAGCACCCCAATGTCCTTTTCTGCCGGGCAGCTCACCAGTCAGTCTTCCCCGAGCCCC